TATAACATTTTCCAGGTAAAAATATCATCTGATGGTTTAAGCCTATACGGCCTTGTGGAAACAAACTGCTGCATGCTTCAATCTTGATAAGAACACAAAGTAATTTTAATAATAATATTAGTAACAATAACAATTTGTAATTTTAATTTTAATATATTTTTAAGATCATCAATATAATATATATCATGTAGTAGCATCATGTATGGTATATGGCTACATTATAACTGCAGATATTAACCTGCCACCAAGGTAACTGTTCTGTGCCAAGGTCTCCCAGCCTTAAAGTGTGCTATGATTTTTTTTTTTTTTTACTATTTACATTAAAAAATAATTAATAGATTTGTCATTGTGTCAGAAAAGGCTGGGAAGTTCAAGGAGATTTTTGAATTTGGAATCTGGAAAATTATTATGAATTTATCATTTGCTATAAATGATCTTGTAATTGAAACTTTGCAGGAATTCTGGTAAAGTCAGTCCCTGAAAGAACGTATTTACAGTATTGTGTGCTCAGACCTGACTACACTGTGGACGTGAGGGCAACACATGGGCAGTAAAATCTCAGTCATTGACCTCCGCTGCCTTTCCTTTCTCTCTGCCAAGTTTGGAAACTCAATCTTATTACATGTCCATGGATTTTGTTTTCAGAGGTCACTGACATATTTCTCTTGATTCTGCACTAACACGTACTTCAGCGTCCTCACTGTCCTGATGCAAGATCTTTATTTTATTAATTTTTTCACTCGCATCCTCTTTTTTTTTTAATTCTTCCAGGCTTACCCCAAAGATTGGATTTCCATGGAGTGAAATTAGAAACATTTCTTTTAATGACAAGAAATTTGTCATCAAGCCCCTAGACAAGAAGGCTCCTGTAAGTATTGCATACATCTAATCTTTTAACCTTTATTTATACACGTTAGTCTCATTGAGTCACAAGGGCTTATTTTCAAGAGACCTGTTTTGTAGTTATAAATATGTACATTTTGAATGTTACAAAAGGAACTTCTCACTCAACAGATTGAACTTAACATTTCAAACATTGCAGCTGTAAATAAGAATCAATTTTATGTGAATGCTGTGAGCTGAATGACTAAAAGCTAAAAGGATAACTACAAGGTTAAAGTAACAAAACAGGCTAAAAACTAAAAGGAGAAAAATATTAGCCAGAAGCTAATATGTAACAAAAAGCTAGCTAAAAGTTGTGAAAGGCTAGCTAGAAGGTGAAAGTAGAGCTACAAGTAGCAAAAGGCTGAAAAAAGCAAAAGGCTAGTCTAAAAGCCAAAAGTAGCATAGAAGTAATGTAACAAAACTATAGTTAAAACTAAAATGATCAGAATGTAGGATATAAAGTGCTATGTGTGTAATCATTGTATATTTCTATACAATGATTAAATTAGTTATCTGCATTTAACCCATCGCACCTGCGATACACCCAGGTGGAGTAGAGTTGCATTCGGGCCCAAAAAATCTGATCCAACCCGGCCCCAGCCTGTAGCCATCATTTCTGAACCCCACCCCACCAGACCGGATGAATTACTAGTAATTAAAGGTCCGAACTCAAAAAGTACACCAACATTTTTAATTAAGCTTTGAATGCTTGTAGAGTTATTAACGGTCGGCGGATGCGCGCGGTTGAATAAAAGGGGCAGAAGATCGGAGCTGAGGGGGTGTTTGTGCTTTCATGGCCGTCAAAGCGCATTAAAACCTTGTTTCCGCCTGCATTCTGCATTAAGACTGCTCTGACATGTCTGCTTTGGACTCGCACCTGTTTGGATCATCGGCCGCGTGCGTCCGCTGAGTGCAGCGGCTGAATGAACGTCCATTTGGGCGATGGATCACTTCCTGGCAGTACAGTCCCTTCTGAAGCTTAACTGAACTTTAGTTTACCTCTTTCAAAGCCGGTCAGCTCGCGGTGAAATGGCAGTGTGTGGCTGGTGCCTGTATGGCAGGCCATGTTGACATATATTTGGATCGCGGCTGATCCGCTGACGCGATCAAAAGCCCAACACCGACCCAGTCTGCCCATCCAGCACATTATCATGGCCCAGCCCGCCCCGAATTCAGGTCGGGTTGGGCCGGGCTTCGGGCCCAGGTTAGAAATTACAGCTCTAAGGTGGAGCAGCGGGCAGTTATGTAGGTGCCAGGGGAGCAATTAGGGATTGTGTCTTGCTCAGGGACACCACAGAATGTGGGCACAGGGAGTTGACCCTGCGCCTTTCTGGTCTCAAGCCGGCTGCCCTATACCTCTGCACCACAGCGGCCCCTAACAAGTAGAGAATTAAAATGAATTAAATGCATCTCGGTGTGTTTATATGGAGAAAAATATTTGTAAAAAAGAAACCTTTTGAAAAATATACAACTTATTATCATCAAAGCAATAAATGTTCCCAAATGTGAAACATTTGGACATTTGAATGAATATTGTAGCACTAAGTATGCAGAAGTATAAAAACTGAAAAAAAGTACAGAAAAATGAATAAAACAGGAAAATGATCTAGATGAATTTAATATAATGATAAAAGTTGAAGGAGAATGTTTTATGAAATCGTCTGATGGTTGTTTTTTGTGTGCCCACTGAAGGACTTTTTATTCTACGCTCCGCGACTCCGTGTCAACAAAGGCATCCTGCACCTTTGCATGGGCAACCATTCTCTGTACATTCGCCGCCGCAAGGCCGACACCATCGAGGTTCAGCAGATGAAGGCTCAGGTCAAACAAGAGAGGCAGCAGAAGAAGATGGAGAGGTAGGAGGAGCCACTGAAGCTGAACCTGTGGGATAGAAACATGTGATCTGAATGTGTGTGTTCTACAGAGATCAGCTCGACAGTGAGAAGAGGAGGAGGGAGGCTATCGAGAAGGAGAAGGAGCAGATGGAGAGAGAAAAGCAGGAGCTGATGACGAAGCTTTACCAGTTTGAAGAAACAACGAAGAGAGCAGAGAGAGGTGAGACGCATCACATCATCACATCATCACATCCAAGCTCCACCAGTGCAGTGCTAATAAAAAAGGCTCATTATTGCAGATGTATACAAATGTTTCCTAAATTATGTTAAAATAAATATTTCAAACCAGTGCAGAAAGTCTGCTGTCCTCTGCTGTCTGTCTGCCAACAGACACAAAATAAAAGTCTATTGTCTGACGCTGCTCCCTCATTTTCTAAATTATTAACAATCTATAAGTTAATGTTTATCACTCCTCGCCATAAACAGTGTGTGTGTGCTCGAGTTCTTTTCTCTTATTAGCAAAATATCTCATGAACGACTGGACAGAATAGACTGAAACTCACAAATTATAAATGTTGAATACACGTCTATTAAATCAACTTTTGGAGGCGGCTCAGTTCAAGATGTCTGCAATAGCTAAGCCAACTTATCCAACATGAAAATGGCTTAGACAAGTTTTATAGAGAATGAGTTAAATTTGGTGTGGTAGTAGCTCATAGTCATCCCCAACATCTACTCTGAGAGCGAGCACAACTCATGAAGTCTTGCGTGAGATTGCACATAACACCATTTATAAAGTTTAATGAAGTTGGGAGTAAAAACATTGTCCCATCTCATCAAAAGAGAGTCTTAGATTAACAATCATAAAAGGTGTCCAAAAACATGCATTCCTTCAACGAATGCTTAATTTACCAAATTTAAATAAGTTTATAGTTGTTAGCAAGCACCACACATATTCCTCTATGTTCCTTAAATCAGTGGTTCTCAAAGTGAGCCGGTGCTTGGGGGTCTCCCACTCCCCAAAAATAAAATACATTATTTTATTTTTTTACAAGCACCTAGATGTTTAATAATATGTTAAAACACACCAAAATGCAGGAAATCCCATCTACTTTATTAAAAATTTCTTGCGGCACCCCCCGCACCCCCCATCGGCCTGCCCGCTATTTGTGCTATTTACACTGATTGTTTTACAAATTAAGCCATTACTTGGTATGACTACTGCGGTTATGATCCTGTTCAGTTTGATGTAAAGAGTTTTCTGTAAAAGTTTGAAGAAGTGGAAAACAATTATCATGCTCATTATGTGAATAGGTAAAGTTTTAAAGAGGTTTTTGATGCTATTAATTTTCTCAAAACTGTCATTTTTGGAAGTTGAAATGAAAAATTTTGTTAATTAAGTGTGTTTTGAATGAAAAATACCCCATATTAAAAAGTATTTAAAAAAGCATTAAGGTTTGTCGTTCGCACCACACGTGGTACATGTACAAATTATACAGAGGGTCCCAGTTACATCCAATAAAAGTATAAATTGTAAAGAAAAACAATAATAAGATTTAAGACATGAACTAAGAAATAGGCTAAACTAAGAAGACACTAAACACTAATAGTACAAAAACAATACGCCAAACAGCAGCACAAACATGAGTCTGTGTGAGCAGATGAGCACGAATGAACACAGTAACATGAATAAATCAGCAGCATGGATAATCAGCAGCACACATCAACAATCAAGTGGTATTACAGTGATTTTTCACAGTGATTATTCTGGTTAGAGATTCATGAGTCTAACAGCTTTAGGGTAGAAGCTGTTCCTCAGTCTAGTGGTTCTACACTTAATTCTTCTCAACCTCCTGCCTGAGGGGAGTGGGGCAAAAAGTGTGTGTGCTGGGTGAGTGGAGTCCTTCATGATGCAGGTGGCGCTCTTTCTGCATCTAGAGGTGTAAATGTCTGTGATGGTGGAGAGGCTGACTCCAACAGACTTCTGTGCAGCCTTCACCACTCTCTGTAAAGCTTTTCTTTCTGCAGCTGTGCAGCCTCCATGCCACACGTTGATGCTGGAGCACAGGATGCTCTCCACTGCACACCTGTAGAAGGAGGTGAGGACTGAGCTTCCCAGTCCAGCCCGCCCCAACTGAGGTTAACATAAGTAAAGAACAGGTCTTAAGTTTTTATGTTACATAAATATTTCCATTGCATTAAAGAGACAAACTGAAAAAAAATATTTAATAAACATGAGGGTTATGAGAGGATCCCTGAAACTTTTTCTCCCCTGTAAGACGTCCTGAATCCAAAAAGTTTGAGAAGCCCTGGTCTAAATAATATAATGGTCAGGTACACCATGTTGCTGACACCTAGAGACACTAAAGTAACTGTGGCATGCATTCAAAAAGTGGAAAAGTATCTTAATATTGAAGAAATTGAGCATAATGCATAGGATTTCCCTCATGTTGTCATATAAATGGCATATTTTTGAACTTGGTGTGACCAAAGTGAAACAGGAAGTGACATCAACAGGGAACTTCCTGGTTCACTGAAACAATATTATTTGAACTCTGACTCTTCTCTCTCTGATAGTGACTCAAATGAAGCATCAGATTCTTCTGTCCTCCTTTGTCATCACTTCCTGTTACTGTGAACACCCAAACAACAGCACTGAAGAGTTGTGGCATCATTTAACAAAGCGAATGCTCCTCTTGATCAAATGAAAACACCTTTTTTATATCATTGATTATAAAATTGTGTTTTAAAGTATCCCAAGTTCTTAAGAAAATAGAAAAACTGCTTTAGTTTATTATTTTTGTGTCACCATTTTTGTTTTTCTTTTAAAAAAACAATGTTTTGTGTTTTTTTTGTTTTTTTAAATCATAGTCAAACAAACTTTAACCGAGCCTGAAGACAAATAAAATAAAATAAAATAAAAAACAGTGATCACAAAGCTTCCCTGTGATGCTGCAGTGCCTAATAGATTTTCCCGTGTGCTGACTTGGTCCCGCAGAGCTTCAGGAGCAGCTGGAGCGGGCCAGGAGGCTGGAGGAGGAGAGGAGGAGGGTGGAGCAGGAGGCGGCCCGGCTGGAGGCTGAGAGGATGGAGGCCATAATTGCCAAGGAGGAGCTGGCCAGGCAAGCTGAGGAGCAGATGAAGAGCCAGGAGCAGCTGGTGAGTGTACAGCGCACAAGTGAACAAGTCCTGATTAATTGTAAACACACATGAGCTGCTTCAGCAGCAGCTTTAACTGTCTTCAAAGTATGAGTCAGGATCAGAACATTTACTGGAAAATGATGAAAAAAAATTATGACTCTGAGCTAATACAACATTTAAGGTTTTATGATTAAGTTAGCTAATTCTTAAAAAAAAAAAAAAAAGAAGTCTTGTTTCTTGATGCACAGCTTTGAAATAAAGCATGAAAACTAAACACCAAACATGTGGTTTGAGTAGCAATGATGTGCTGTGAGTTTTAGTTGTGGTGCTTCACATAATACAGTAAAAAAAAAAAAAAAGAATAAAATAAATAAATAAAATAGAAATAAAAACAGGATATGGGTGAAATGTATATAAGTACCTGCGCTCCTGAAGCTCTTCTTCTCAGGAATCAAACATCATTTAAAGTTTAAACGTCACAGAAAGTGGACTTTACGTCACTGGACTGAAATTTATTTCACGGTCTTTACACAATTTAGATTTTTGTTCAACCAACAGTTGATGATGTTACACTAACATCTCGATAGTCTCCATCTTCTACTACATATTCATAGTTGGGTCGTGAAGGTTCTGGAGAGAAACCCAGACGTCCATCTCCCCACTGATGCTCTCCAGCCCCTTCTGTGGGACTCAAAGCTGTTTCCAGACCAGAGATGGTATTTATTCCATTCAGTGAGTGGGTCTGCCTGTCTCTTCCCAGTGGGATGCGCAAAGTGGGGGGCATCCTTATCAGATGCCCAAATCCCCTCAACTGGTTCCTTTTGATGAGAAGGAGCAGTGACTCTACTCTGAGCTCCCCGCAGATGATGACGTCTTTACCAAACCTTTAAGGCTCAGCCTGGCTACTCTGTGAAGAAAGTTCATTTCGGCTGCTTCTATCTAGAATCTTGTTCTTTCGGTCATGATCCATTCTTCATGTCCAGAGGTCAGAGTTGACCAATACATTGAGAGCTTTGCCTTTCGACTCAACTCTCTCTTCATCACGACCGTCCGAAGCAGCTCCATTACTGAGGACGAATACTCGCTCCATCTTACCATCACTCATGAACAAGACAAGACAAAACTACCGTTTGTGTGAACAGCCTGACATTAAAGTATTACGGTAAATTTCAGAAAGGTTTTGTGAAATATTTCCCCCCTCCCGCCTGTTTATTTGTGACATAATGACACCAAATCCTGAAAACTACATCTATCGCAGTAAACATGAGGTACTGTATGTTTGTGAGTTCTAGTTTTTATCTGGACACATTTTGGTTTGTTACGTTTTAGGCTGCAGAGCTGGCAGAGTACACCGCTAAGATCAGCGTCCTGGAGGAGGCTAAGAAAGCAAAGGAAGAAGAAGCTGAGACATGGCACATCAAGGTTGGTTTCTAATATTACACTCGAGGTGACGTCAAGGAAATTACCCTAAATCACACGATCTGCTTTATTGTTTGCATATTTGTTTTTAAGATAATCCAGATTCACTTAACCTTTGTTTATGTCTCTTTCTATATATTAGTCTTAAAAACTGTATTCAAATTCACGACACACACACACGGCGTATCATTCTGTTTAAGTAAACCACCATGTATGTGAAGAAGAAGAAGAATGGTCCAGAGACAGCTTGTCTTGTCCTTCAGCTGCTCATAAAAATCTAGCACTGTGTATTTTAGGCTTGTATTTTGGATGATATGCAGGTTAACTCAAACATGCACCTCCTTTCTTTCAGGCGATGGAAGTGGAGGAGAATCTGATGAAGACCAAAGAGGAGCTGCAAAGCGTGATGACTCCCATCAACTCAGCTCCTGCTGCTGCGTCCTCGTCCTCCTCAGACAGCGAGAGCGACCACGAGCACAGCGAAGAAAACAGCACCTACAGCGCCGAGCTGCAGACGCAGGGCATCGACGACCATCGCAAGGAGGAGGAGAGGCTCACCGAGGCCGAGAAGAACGAGCGTCTGAAGAAACAGCTGATGGTGAGTTTACCAGGAGAAGTGGGGGTCCAGGATCCCTCTTGAGCAGAAAAGATGGTCTGATCCAAAAAGTGCTTACCCTTCATGTTTAACTTTTATTTTACATAAAAGAAATTGGGCTTTTATTGTTTGAATGTGGATTCATTCATTCAAATGTTAAAATGTTCAGCTCATTCAGCTGATTCTGCCATTTTGTTTTTTGTAACATTTAAACTCTTCCAAAAATTTAGATATAAAATAAAAAAACCTCAACAGAAATACATTGAAAACTTTTCTGTTCTTTCAGAAACGTTCTCTTTGACATCTACTTCAGCATACTGGCTTTGGTAGTGTCTTCTGCTACTTTTAGATTTTAGCTACCAGCTTTTCTTAGCTTTTAGCTAAGCTTTTGCCATTTTAGCCAGAATTTTGCTACTTTTAACTTTTAGCACAATGGTTTCATGGTTAGCACTGTTTCCTCACTGCAAGAAGGGCCTGGGTTCAATCCCTGGCTTGGACCTGGGGTCTTTCTGAGTGGAGTTTGCATGTTCTTGTGTTTGTGTGGATTTATTTCCGGGTACAGTACGCCAACTCCGGTTTCCTCCCACAACGTAAAAGATGCATGTTCGGCTGCCTTCAGGCCCGGGCCTCCCCTGCAAGAGATCTGGGATTTGCCACGTTAAAGAAAGGTTCATAAATAATGAAAATATAATATTTGGGTAATTTTACATTTCAGATAGCCTTTTGTTACATTTAGCTAGCATTTTTGGCCCTTTTATCTTTTAGCATTTTATTTTTTTAGCTAGTGTTCTGCTACTTTTACCTGTAACTGCTCTTCTTCGGCTTCTTCAGAAAATCCCAGCAGTCATTCAACATCTAATTTGACACAAGCCAAGTTTTGTTGATTTAAAAAATTATTTTTAGCAACCTGCTGTGTACGGTAGAGCCATCCATCCATTATCTTTTCCCACTTTTTCCATTTTGGGTCACGGGGGTCGCTGGTGCTCATGTTCGGCAATCACTGTGTGAAAGGCGGGGTACACCCTGGACGGGTCTCCAGTCCATCACAGGGACACATAGAGACAAACATCCATTCACTCTCTCACTCACACCTAGGGACAATTTAGAGTTACCAATCAGCCTAACATGCATGTTTTTGGTCTGTGGGAGGAAACCGGAGTACCCGGAGAAAACCCACACATGCACGGCGAGAACATGCAAACTCCACCTAAAAAGGCCCCCGGACTGGAATTTGAACCAGGGACCTGCTCGCTGAGAGGCAGCAGTTCTACCATTTGCGCCACCGTGCTGTATACGGTAGGGCCATGGTGCAAAAATATTTTTTTACCCCCATAATTCTGAGTAAAAAAGTCAAAATTCTGTGATTAAAGTTAGAATTAGATACAAAGTAGATATATTCCTGACTTTAATTTCAGAATTCAGACAATTAATCACAGAATTCTGACTTTAATCACAGAATTCTGAATTTAATCTCAGAATTCAGATGTTAATCTCAGAATTCTGACTGTCTCAGAAATAAGGGAAAAATTATTTTACTGTGGCCCTAATCCTCTTACATAGCTGCACAGTTAAAGGTTCATTATTTTGTTTTGGAGAGGTAATAAAATACAATTTGACAGTTTTTATTGTAAAAACAACATTTTCCATCTGCTTTACTTCCATTTTTCAAGTAAATTTGATCAATGCGAACTTTTAAAGTGTAAATTTGTGAACTGAAGCGTGGATTCCCCGTGAATTAAACACGAAACCCGCCTCCTTCACAGGACCTGAGCTCAGATCTGGCAGACGCCCGGGACGACAGTAAGAAGACCGTGAATGATATGCTGCATGCTGAGAACGTCCGGGCGGGCCGCGACAAGTACAAGACCCTCAAGCAGATCCGCCTGGGCAACACCAAGCAGAGAATCGACGAGTTTGAAGCTTTGTAGAAACTTAAAAGACCTGATCTGTCCAAACCCCTCGAGAAGAATCTGTTCAGCATATTTAATTTCAAGCAGAACGTAATGATTACAGACAGATGCTGAAGAACCAGAAAGGAACGGTTAGACCTCTGCACCTCGGTGCGTTTCAGCTAAAGCTCTGCTGTTGTTGTTGTGAAACCTTTCTCTGATTATTCTCAGTAACTTGTAATTCTGGATGAAGATGTGTCTGTCCCTCAGCTCAGCTGTGAGATGAGGGCAGAACAGGAATCATATACTGTATTTTTCGGATTATAAGGCGCAATATCAACAAACGGGTCTGTTTTCATACATGAGGTGCGTCAGATTATAAGGCACATTTAGCGAAACAAAACAGTCAAATAAGTCAAACTTTATTCAACTCATTCACAATAACCACATAAAATCAGTTCGAGGTTAGCAACTATGTGAATGCATAAGACGCACCTGATTATAAGGCTCGCTGACGATTTTTGAGAAAATTAAAGTATTTTAAGTGCACCTTAAAGTCCAAAAACTATGGTATGTGTTAATAGAAACTAAAGTTGCCATTTAAATATGAAACCAAACATAAACAACTCCATTTAGATTTATTTAATATAAAAAAAACAATCCATGCTGCAAACAACTTCTGATTCTTGTTTGAATTTATCGTGTCGAACTCAAGTTTCAAGGTTTTTTTTTTTCTGCCTGGCAACATTAGTCTTTAATATTTCTTTATTTTATCAACATGTCATAGCTCAGCACCTTCATGAAACACTAAATATTGTTTTGTCAATAAATGTTCCACGTGTCTCAATGGATCCCGTTTATCGGACACAGCTGACGTTTTATTCTGCATTATTTTTTAAAGGAAGAGAAAACTGCTGGCATTAAAACTACACATGCGTGAAAAGTTGTACTTGAATTTTTTTGTGTATTTGTGGTCAGAAATATTATTTTATTTGCTCATTCTGATTTATGCTGGTGACTAGTCCACATGTATCCCATTGATGCAAGTCAGAATTATTTGGTGAGACAATGTTTTTATTTAATTATGATGCTTTGTCCAGTAGAATAATAATTTATTATCTGTCATACTGTGGTTGAAAAACTATCCAACCATCCCCATAACTACCAGTTAGTAATTCATGTGATTTTGTACATTTAATGCTACGCCTCTTTTATATGTCAAAATTTGAAAAACATGCTCAAAGTTATTTATTACTTTTTTAAGTTGGCTGGCGCTGAAACAGAATCAGATTTTTTATTTTTAGCCCCCAGTGAAAACAAATTGAACGGCTGTTCTGTACACTTTATTTTACGAGGTGTACCTCTGTTATCGAGACTGTTTAACCTCGAATGTATCACAGATGGTTGTGGGGAAACGAACTGATTGATTGATCAAAACCACTGATTGTGAGTCTTTTTTACTCAATCTGGAGGGGAAAAAAAACAAAAACAACCTTTAAGTAAATGTTTTTTTGTTGTTGTTTATGAAATTTATATGCAAACAAATAACCAGAATGCATAAAATTAGGTCTAAATAAAAACTTTTTTGGCAACAATAAACTCTGTCCTCCTGCTGGAACCTCAAAGCCTCACGTCTGACACGTAATGTGTGATTTCAACTGAGTGCTCTGTGAATGACTCTCAGCTACTACCACGCGAAATTAGTTTCAGTAGGATGTGGCAGCCATCTTGAATTATATTAATCTTAAGAATTAACAAATTGTACGTGTACATCCACTGATTACTTCCTGAAAGTTTAATTAAAATCCATTCTGTGGTTTATATTTTGCTAACAGAAATCCAGCCAATTGTGTTGTGGAATGAGCCCTGCTTCACAGAGTTGTTGTGAATTACTCTCAGCTACTACCACACCAGACTTGAGCTCAAAATTATTAAAACTGACTGAGTTATAGCCATTTTGTGTTGACCCTTTTTAATTGACTGTGGCAGCCATATTGAACTGTGCTGACTACAAAACTTACAGGATTGTAGGGGTACATGCAATGAATAATTTTTGAAAGTTTCAGTACAATCTGTCTCGTGGTTTATGAGATATTTTACTAACAGACATACAGAGTTGACAACAACAGTTAGAGGCAATGTTTTTAAAAAACAGATCTCGCGCCATCACAAGCTCTCAATGTACTGGTCAACATCACTCACAGAAATTCAGCTTCAGTCACGCAGGATGTTTTGATTGACACGAGGGTAAAAACTCCAGAGGGAGCGCGTTAACTCCACGGAGCCTCCTCCTAAAACTCCGTGGGATTGCCCGTGCGCGTCTTTTCTGCGCGCTCTAAATATAAACCGGTGACAAATAGTCCGAGTAGCCTACGGCAGCAGCCCAACTGTGATGTGGGGGTGGTGCGGCTCCATCTCCAAAAGTCTCCTCTGTTGGATGCGGAGTGCGTCAGGAGAAGGTCGCAGAGCTGCCGCGCGCGCGCTCCCTTGGTTCACCATGAAGAGACAAAACGCCAGGACGCTCGCGCTCATCATCAGCATCCTCACCTACCTGGTGGTCGGAGCGGCCGTCTTCCAGACCCTGGAGTCCAAGCAGGAGAAGAGTCACAAGAGGAAGCTGGACGTCAGGAAGCACGAGCTCATGCGCAAATTCAACTTGACCAAAGCAAACTTCGAGGAGCTGGAGCTGGTGGTGCTGCAGCTGAAACCTCACAAAGCAGGGGTCCAGTGGAGGTTCGCCGGCTCCTTCTACTTCGCCATCACTGTGATCACCACCATAGGTGAGCGACACTTTCATTTACAGCAATAATAATAATAATAATAATAATAATAATAATAATAATATGCTCAATACTCATTTTTACTTTAAATAAATCATGACATCTTTCCATTTTTAAGCATCTTGAAGTCTTTGTTTTCCTCTGTGTTCAGAAAACCCAATATTTAAAAAACTTGGTTTATCGACTGTCAAGCCACGGTTTCTAGTTTTAGACTGATCGTGTGTTGAGAGATGACAAAGTTAGGGCATGTGCTGTGAATGACTCTCAGTTTGCTTTATGTTTGTCTCAGTGTCCAACTAGTGCTGGTTGCCATCTTGAATCAGATGACAAGTTAATCCGTTCTAGATCCATTAAGTGAGTTTTATTAAAGTCTGTCCAGTAGTCCATTTGTTAACTTAATAAATCTGACTGAATCCTTGGCTCCAACCAGACGTGCATCCAGTGATTTTTTTTGCAGGTTTCATTGAAGTTGTTCATTGACTCATGAGATATTTTTAATTCTTGAGCAGCACCAGCAGGCAAAAACATTATCTCCTGCCTTTTGCCTTTCAACCTTACAGCCTCCAGTTCTAATGTTGCTTTCGATCAGGATGTCATTTAACCCCCCACATTAAAAATAGTGCCAGGATCACTTTCTTCCACCTGAGCACTGATCACTAAAATTAGCAACACTTTGCCAAAAAATGATGCAGAAATCATTAAAATCTTATGCTCTAACAACCGAGCTCCATCACAGATTTTACTAACAACGCACTTTGCTGCCAGACTGCAGGTTTACTTGTGGTTCCTATGTGTTTCTGAAAGCAGAACGGGAGGAAGAGATTTCAGTTATTGAGCTCCTTTCTTGAGGAACCAACTTCCAGTTTCTTTGAAACTGTTTTTTTTTTTTTTTTTTCAAGGCTGAAGTCTTTCCTTTATAATAAATCCTATAGTTAGTGTTGGTGTGAGTTTGTAGGCTTAGACTTCTGGAGGACAAATGGACCGCATTTTCTCACTCTGCTGCTGTCTTTACTCACTACTGTTAGTGTTTGAAATAATTTCTATGATTAATGTGTTTTTCTTTGTCCTTCAAAGAAAGTGCACCTGCTGCCATTCTGTGTTTAATTGTGTCCCTTTTCTGTAACTCTGGCCAGTCAAGACAGCGGCCCATCCTGAGCCTGGCTCTGCAGGAGGTTAATTCTTGTTAAAAGGGAGTTTTTCTTTTCTACTGTCACCAATGTGCTGCTCAGGAAGGGAGACGTAATTAAGTAAAATTTGACCCGATCTGCTAGTTTTCAAGTTAACTTTTACGAATTTACATTTTATATTGATTGTGAGAGTTAATGAAGTGTCCTAAGATGATGTTGTTGTGAATTAGCACTATATAAATAAACAGAATTAAAAATAGAGTCTAATTTTTTGTGGTGGGTGACAACAACAAAAAACTCTTTTTGCTTGGATCAAAGTTAATAATAAGTCAATAATCCAGGTAAAAAAAATCCAATCTTTTTACTCAGATGTGTCATTTTTGTTACTCCTGCAGAAACGTCAGCTGAACTCACAGAACTTACTTCATTCTAGCACAAGGTTCTCAGACGTATACACCTCAAAATATTTAAGTTCACCTGAAACGTATTTAAATCATGTACTGTACATAAAATCCAAGATGGCTGCCTTAGCTAAAAGAGAAAAATACCATAATGCAGCCATTTTTTATAGGTATTCAGCTGTAATTTGGTGTATTGGTAGCTGCGAACAATCCTTAATAGACTCTGACTGAAATTCAAAAATCCAAGATGGCTGCCTTAGCTAAAAGAAAAAAAAACATAACTCGGCCATTTTTAGAGCGATTCATCTGAAATTTGGTAGAGTGGTAGCTGAGGGCAAACCCAACACATATTACTGTCAAATCAACAATTTCAATATACAGCAGCCTGGCAGTCCCCATCAAAGTTTCCCCAGGAACTTTCTTCGTATTATTATTATTCAGTCAGGCTGCAACTTGAGCAATTGTTAATTAAAAAAGTTATTTACAGATTGTGTACAGCTCCAGATGCAACAAGAATGTTTTTATGCTAAGATTTGTTAATTACAACTTGGTTTTTTTAAATTCATGTCAAAACATATTCTTGAGATCTGTCAGTGAGGATTTGATTCATAATTTCTCTTTTATTCTTAAGTCAGTGGTTCTCAAAAAAATTAGCATCCAACCCGCAAAATAAAAGTGGCAAAATCTTGTGTACCCCAATATCTTCAGCTTATATTACAATAAAACCACTTAAACTTGTGCAGTGGAGAGCATCCTGTGCTCCAGCATCAATGTGTGGCATGGAGGCTGCACAGCTGCAGAAAGAAAAGCTTTGCAGAGAGTGGTGAAGGCTGCACAGAAGATGTTGGAGTCAGTCTCCCCACCTTCACAGTAGAGATGCACCGATCCGATATCAACATCGGTATCGGTACCGACATCGGGAAAAACTTCTGGATCGGGTATCGTGACAATGTGACCGATCCATGCATAATGCATACCAGCATAATTTACGTATCTGATTTTTCCGATCCATGATTCATGTTGGCTTCAAACTACGGAATGGATTTCCTGAACGGAGGCATGTCTCATGAACCAGAGTAATAAGACCCGCCTCACATTCAGGAAATCCATTTCATAGTTTGCAGCCAGCTACAACATGAGGACTGAGTTAGCAGCACTGTGGCTAACAGCTAACAAACTTTTCATCTAAACATGTCCGCTGTGTGGAAGTATTTTACACTAGAAATACCTCAAAACAAGACGGCATCGTGCAATGTCTACAGAGCCATAGCGCCACATTAAACCGCAGTAAAGTTAGTTTTACGTT